TTATAATATAATAAATCAGATAAACATCGGAGAGATATGATCTAAAAATGAGCCATATATGGCCCATAAATGAGTCATTTATGGCTCATTTTTTATCTCATTTTTCACGGCCTGGGTTACGGTTACGATTAACCGTTCAATCGGTTATTTACGGTTACGGTTAACCATTCGACGGGTTATTTACGGTTACGGTTAACCGTTCGACCGGTTATTTACGGTTACGGTTAACCGTTCGACCGGTTATTACGGTTACGGTTATTTACGGTTACGGTTATGACCGGTTACGGTTAACCGTAACCGGTGCATGCCTATTTGATACGAGATTTTTTATTAGATGTTTTTTCGAATCACTTCTTCTTGAAGAGCAAATTATTGCTTGTATACCAAGAATTTGCTTCATAAAATAGTCAATATGTAAAACTATAAACTTGAAAAACAAAAGAAATATTTGCTACACAATTCAAAACACAAAATAAATGTTTCTTTAATCACAATTCTCTGTTAATCAACATAACGTTGAAGAAAAACACTTTTCAACATGGAACAATCAGTGTAACGCAAACTAACTTAAGAACCTACATCACTCACAGAACCGGTAACGGTTAACCGGTTGTCAACCGTTACCGTTGCATCCCTAATCTCTATTTCCCAGTGGTCCTTTCGGACGTGCATGGTGGAGAGGCGTTTACCTCCGAAATCGATCTAATATTATTTCTTAGCTCAGTTTTCAACGCTGAATAACAAAAGAAATAATTTGAATGTTCCAGCTAAAAATCTAACTTTTTTGAGCATCATCGTTTGTTCGAATTTTCTAGATCTTTTGACATGAAAGAAACGTTTCGAAAAATTAAAAACTACATATTCTGGATCTGCTCAAAAAACTTTTTCGAATGGAAAAGAAAATTTCACTGGATTTTGTAAATTAGCTACTCCTTAACTATTTTAAAATATCAAAGACCCAGACAGCATAAGGATGAAAACTCTTTTTTCCTCTGTAGCCACAACAACTACAACAACAAGTAAGTAGATAGTGTTTCAATTTGAAATTACGAGTAATATGTTTTATGTTCAAGTGAGTATGATTCGATTAACACAAACGAGTGATCCGATTTTTGGAATTTGTAATACAACTGTTGGTGGTGATAGTACACCAAGCGTAATAGCGGGCACAAATCCATGTAACTTTTATCCAGGAGAAATACCATCGTATGCGATTGACAATATTAATACAACAAAATACACAAACTTTGGAAGTGGTACGCTTTCCAGTTCAAGTCCGACTCAAGGGTGTAACACAGGCTTTTATGTTACACCTTCAATGGGTCCATCTGTACTAAAAGCATTTGTATTTGTAACAGGAAACGATATACCCGACCGCGATCCTACTGCAATCACTATAGAAGGAAGTAATTTAACTTCTTCGTTAACAGTAGGCACTAGTTGGACATCGATTTATTCTGGGACGTCTGGTCTTTCAACCGATCCTGGACGCTGGTCGCTTGGAGTTCAACAAACATGTAGTAGTAATACGGTTTACTATCTAAACTACCGACTACTAACGACAGCAAAAAGAGGATCAGAAGTTGCTGTTCAGTACTCCGAAACAATTTTACTTGGTTATTTTTAGCGAAACGGAAATAATATAAATAAAATAATATATGAGTGATTCTGTAAAAATAGTACCGTTCGACTAACGTAAATGATGCTAAGCGTTTCTTCTCTCAGACTAGATGAAACAATTCCGCATTTCTCGCATATACTCGTTAGTATTAGATCTTAATCGCTGCAAATATAGCTTTTCTATCTTTAACTATTAACGAGTTACAAGCAAAACATCTACATCTAACCGTTATTTTGCTGTTGACTTTCTTATGGTTCAGATGAGTCAGATTTTGTAAATGTTATTTTTCTCTGTAACTTTGCGCTGAATAATATGTTTTTTCTCTCTCTTGTCTAGAATTTTCTTCGCTCTATTCAGCTACACCATTATTTTGTTTCCAGTATTTCGGGTCTTTTCTCAAATTTGTTCAGAATTCAAGGTTCCAAAATCCAATTTCTTTTTGTACCGTAACCACATAGTTTTGGATAGCCCTGATAAGTTATTTGGTCTTCATTTTTCTTATGCCAAGAGTTGACTAAATATGTAGAATAGATAACAGCGAAAACTGAATGTTTCTGTCACTTTTCGCTACCGTGCAATTCACGCTTTACTAATGCTCGGTGAAGTTTGACAAACAATTTGTCCCGAAACCACCCACTACATCACGCCTCAACCGAACATGATAAAAAGTTTCTTTTTTTATTATAAGTGTAGTCTAGCCACATGCTGATCGTGTAAAAGGACAAAGACTGAAATTGCTTTATAAGGAAGTAAACTAAAAAAATACTAGGAAATGTCCCGTAACCGTTTTCTTTTGGTTTTTTTTTGTAACTTTAACGTAACACGTGTGAACAAAGTCAAATTTTTAGTATAAAGGTTTTACAATGTGGAAAGTTTATGGATGTGCATATGCAGCGTTTAAATGGGTGAAAAAAGGATTTCTGGAAATCTAGCGTTTTCAGGAAACTAGCAATACTGGAAGCTTTGTGAACCGATGTTGAGTATACCAATAGATAGAGCACGCTTTGCAATCTATAATTATGTACTTTTAGAGTAGTCCCAGCTATTTATACATGAAAACCATCAGAGGAGATCTTATCTCCGTGCATTCAAAATCCAGGACACAGAGAAGTGGTAGTTTGCAAACTTGCTTTTTCTGGCACTACTGGGTACCCACTATCGACATATGATATTCAATTGCTCAAGCCTTTGTTTTTTCTTTTGATTAAATTTTTGAACATAAACGGTACTATTTCTATCAGAATCACTCATATCGGTTATACTTATTTTCCCTTTTTAATGTTTTTGAGATAAATAGAAATCAAAACTGAATTAAAAAAAAAATTATCACATTTCTACAAATTAGCATCTGTTGTTAATAATTACTAGGAACAAGTAACATTTTTGTTACTTTACTTGGTAAAGTAACGTTTAGTAATAAGTAATAAGCCACCTCTAACCACAACGTTAACTCTTCTTGCATAGTAACACATCGCCCTGGAATTTTCTTGAATAATAAACGAGTTTTTACCTGAGTATACAAGTTTATAGAACATTCTTTGAGAATCAGTTGGAACGTGTATGCTCGAGTATTCATTCATTATTAGAAAATTATGTGCAAGCTCCACGTTGAAGCAAAAAACCAAGGTACTATATGCAGAATTTCAAGGTAGTGCCGTATACAGCAAAATTAAACTATTTCTTGAGCTGCAGATATTAAAATTGAATTTAGTATACACCAGTTATATACTACACTACTTATTTTTAATTAGCGTAGAAAGCGCCTTGTTCGATCCGCTTTGCGCTTATTCTACGCGCTGGTGTATACTACACTCAATTTTAATATTTGCAGCTCAAGAAATAGTTTAATTTCGCTAAATTTTGCCATATATGGTACACTGGGTGTCTGCAAGTGTCACCACTCATGAGAATTTGTTCAAAATAAAAACATGGGAGTGGAAGAGTTTAAAGAAAATTTCAATACTCATTGACAACAATTTTTACCTGAATCCTGCAAAAAACTCTATTCTCTGTGAGAAACCAGAAATTATTACACATAAAATATTAAAATTTTATAATTCATTGCTTGACAGACGAGTAACCAATCCTATAGTTCATCTACGATTCAGTGACTTTGACTGGAGCTGGGCGGCTGACATCGGTAATAATAATGCAGTTTCCTGTATACTAAAACACATAATTTATTCGAGTACGCGAAAAATTGATCATTGGTGGAAGATGATTCTCATTTTGGTCTCTTTCGAGATGTAGCGAGTATCAGATCAGTCGTTAGCACCAATATCTACCCATACACATTCTTTGGAAGTCTCAGAATGAATATTTTCCTTGCATATGGTAGATGCTACCTTATCGTTACTTTTTTGGATTTTTGTTTTAGACTGCTAAATAGATAGCAGAAAAGGGAAAAAATATACACTACTATCGAAACGGAAAGGTCGTGCCGGTTGCCGTTTCTCAAATAACTTTTTAACGAAAGGTCTTAGCGGCCTGCGGTTTTCACCATCGTATAGAGGACACTTAAAGCCATATTTTCATAGGCAAAAACAAGTTTCAAAAAAATTTCACAGCCTGGTTTTTCAGGAGATCTTTGAAAAACCAGGTCAGAGATTCCGAAAGTCTTATAGAAACCCGATCGTTTTCTTGCATAGGTATTTAGCCTAGAGTGTCCTCTACAAAATGAGAGTCAAGCCAGGGCTTCATCCTTCAAGGTTCCGGAGATACAGACGTTTCCCGCGGACATACCTATCTCAGTGCAGGCACGTCTGGGAACGTTCAAAACCTATGGCACATAGGTTATCGATCATGCTGATTATCGTGGCAACATTTATTTCAATGCGAAAACGAAAATACGGTCAGAAAATAAATTATTTTAAAAATTCGATTTTTAGCCTTCGACCGTCGTATATTAAAAGTTTTATAATCCGACTATCTTTAGTCCAAACTGACTCAGATTTTCAGGAGATACTCAAAACAAGTCAAAGATACGAGATTCACTTGAAAAATGGGATTGCAAAGCACCGTTACAAGGAAGGCTTTCCAGGAAACTCCTCCAAAACCTCAGCAGGTAAGTAAACTTTTAGACCATTTCTTCGACTGAATCTCGTATCTTTGACTTGTTTTGAGTATCTCCTGAAAATCTGAGTCAGTTTGGACTAAAGATAGTCGGATTATAAAACTTTTAATATACGACGGTCGAAGGCTAAGAACCGAATAGTCAAAATATTTTATTTTCTCACCGTATTTTCGTTTTCGCATTGAAACAAACGAAAGTGTTCAACATATTTTTTGTAGAGAATTTTACAGCACATCTCTTCGCAAAACAAGTATAGCTACAAGTGAAAACGAAAAGAAGTTATAGCTAAAATACTGAAAGGCTCATTTTTTTCTGGATCACCCGATACAACGGCCACGTGTTTTATGTATGAATGTCTTAATTAATAAATAATATGTCGCAGTAGAAATTAGGATTCAGTAGAATTTAAAATTTTATTAGTTATAGTATTTAAATTTCTACTAGTGCAACTTAAAATCGACGCTTAATTTAATTTCTCCTAGTAGAAAATGAAACTTTAATTTTAACTAATAGAATTTTAAATTCTATTAGTATCTTAACGAAAAAAATTTACTGAACATATTCGATTAACACAATCACTTGAATTACGTACGTATAAAACATTTATGGCATAATCTATGTGGCCAATTGATACAGGAATTAAGTATATGGTATGAACCACAATTGTATCCAACAGAATCACCAAATTGTGAACGTCGACGATTACAACGTGCCTATTGTCTAATGGATAAAAAATATTTTCAATCACAGATTAAAGAAGAAAAATTAATGAAACTACCATTATGGTAAGATTAATTGATTTTATTATAATTTGTAAAAATACAATTTGTTTGAATTCTTTAGGTATCTATTCGATTCATCAATTGGTTCTAATACTTCTTCGGGTCATCAATCAATGGCTATTCAAACCATTCTATATCGTAATGAAAAAATTGAATATCAATGTCGATGTATAAATGTAACAGCATCAAATGAAATTAAAGGCGAATTTCAATGCTCCAAAATCATTTTTGAAAGCAAAATTCATTTTGAAATCACAAAATTATGCTCCTTGTTGCTCACTCGAATGAATTTCTTTTCTCGTCAGATCCAACTATTCTCTGACAATATCTTGAACATC